CTAAGTTTTTAAATTTATGCTCAAACCTAGTGTACGGCGCATTTAACGCACATTATAATGGCCATATGAGAATAACGTTTCAGTTTTCCTATCGCAACCAAATAAGATGATCTCATTTCCGCTCAAGAAGTAATCCTAACAAACCGTTCATTCGAATATTTATGATGTTAAGGGCACACAAATTGGCCGTAATAAAAAGTTTCACTCATCCTTTAGTCGTTTGAAAACGAATTCTCGCAAGGTAACTTTCAAGACCTTCGAAATACCGCGGATGTTGCTGAAACTCTCAATAGCAAGATGCTCGGTTATTTTTTTACTTATACCGATATCTTGACATAAAAAAATTGTAACTTTTTTATTACTGAAAAATGATCTCAATTGCACTAGTTTCATTATACGTTACTAACTTTTTAAAGGAAAATGGCTAAAGTATAATATTTCGTTTTTTATTGAAAATACAATAAAACTCGCCTTGTCTACTTAAAAATAAAAAAATCATATGATACTTTAATTTAATAAATATGTAGTTAATAATTCCAATTTTGATGACTTGTGGGATACTTTCTTCCATATATAGTTCGGTAATATACATTTTAAATTTCTTCGTATTCTGTAAAATAACCTCAATTCGTCTACAAACTGGTGTTACTAATATTGAGGATATCGATCTTCTAATACTTGTAACAACCACATTTACTTTGCTCGTATATTAAAATAATTCAAAACACCTTTTAAGGATACAAAAAATATAATTAAGTAATATAATTAAATGTATTATTAAGATTTGACAAAATGGTTCACATGTAATTTTTAATTGAATTAAATACGCATGCTTTCTTATTTCAAAGGTTATTAATAAAATGAAAAATTTTTAACAATATCCTATTTTGTTAATAGCTATAAAAATTTCAAAAGTTTTTAGTTTAGTTAATTCGCTTATGTAATAATTAAAATATAAGACTATACATCTGTTTTTATATTCCAAGTGTGACATAACGAGACAAATGTCCATTTATCAGATATAAATGATGGTCATAATATAATCAAATACTAATTGTGAAATTTATAATTGAAACATACGCTTTGATGATATAACTGTCAAACTTAAGTAAACGCATCGAAATACAACGTTTCGAATTTTAAGTAATTATTTATTGTAACTTTTATTATTTACCACTGGAATGTATACCGAATTTTTCAATTTTAATCTATTTCGCATCTCAAGATTTATAACCTTGTTTGTCAGAAATTGGATGCCGTCGATACCGTCACTTTAAAGAAAAATTTTAACTGTTGCTGACATATTTTTTGTACATCTGACAATGAAAATAATGGAGGAAAAAACATTCAGCTTCATATGCTGCATTACTCCAATCACTTTTTGCCCTACTACATAGCGCATATGGTCGTCACCCTCCAAAGAAGGACTTTTCACCGTACTAATGCAATAAGACCGTAATACGGACAGATTTACGGATAAACAAAGGTAAAGATAGACATTTAGATAAAATAAAAGAGAGGAAGATTCAAGAAAAGAGATAACATATGTACTACAATAGCCGAAGAAGAAATATAGGCGGGTGTGTATTTACGCTGCAGCAGTGTGGCCAGAGTATAAATTTCTACCATTCGGCCGATTTGGAGGCTAGTGTGGCGTCCATTGCCTTCAGTTTACGGCAACTTCTCCCTCTCCTGCCAACAACTATATATATATATATATATATATATATATATATATTAATAGCACGATCCCTCCCAAATTCTTTGTACATTTAGAGGCTTGCAGTTATTTTAAGGAGAAAGAGAAACGCTAAATCCGCCTCTTGTGTGACAATGGAAATTAATTCTATGACGTTATGTGTTCCCTTTGCACCATTTAATTACTCCATCTCGCTTTCCTTCAGAAATCCTACTTTGCGCTCTCTCTCTCTCTCTCTCTAACATATTTTCTTACAATATCCGAATCGTGCGTGAAGACTACGAGGTCATCTTCTACCATTATCCATAATTTTTATATTTTTAATTAAAATATTGTATCGATATTTATTATATATGTTGATAATTTATTCGACTTTATTTTAAGCTTAAAATAAAAACTGTTATTTATATTTAATGAAAAATCATTTCTTATACCCAAGAAAAGAAAGTTTGCATTTTAATAATGTATTGATAAATTTATTTTAACAAAATATTCGTTTAATTCTCTAACGTTGAACAGAATTTTTTTATAAGAATAATAGGCATTTTCATTTATCAATTAGTTCTCATCGCTACTTTTTTCAGAAAATTGTTTTTTTCTTCCAAACACGAAACGTTGTAAACTTTATCGATTATGATAATGATATATTATTATAATGGTTATTTTGATTACGGGTAAATAAATTTATGAGAACACAGATATAGCAGCTGCAATCGCTATTTACTGTCTTTAAAACTTGTTAATGAATTGAAAGTAGATAAAATACGTATTACCAAATGTCTTTGGTATAGTGTTTAGCATTATATTTTTTAATATTCAACGCATAGCATGCCAATTTTGTATTAAAAGTATTTTTCAGTAATATTGACTATTATATCCATTTTGACGTAATAGTCTGCTTAACAAGGTGGCCCAAAGCGGGCACAGTTACGACGATAACGAGTCAATGGCGCTTTTCTTTGAAATAGCCGGAGCGGAAGGAGACTCGCAGAGTTTATAGCGCTCGAGCCGAGAAAATACCGCGTGCACCAGATATTGACAATAGAGTGAAAAAATGAGATACCGTGCGGAAATGGGAGGGTAGAACTAAAAGCAGGATAGACCATTGGAAAAAGTTATAACGAGCTTTCTAGTGTATGAAATAATTACTCAAAAAAAAATTTTTCCATAATTTTAAACTTATTTTCAGGTGACTACGTAACTTATTATCTATTTTACCAAAGAAGTAAACGAAGAAGAACATTATTAAGGGGCCTCTAGTAGAGCTTGTTGAATTATCTTGGTAGGTGCTGAGTGTCACATTTTTTTGTTTAAATAGAACATATAATACGCGCAAGTTTATTTACATACTCAATACTCAAATTTTCATTAATTTAAACTTTTATTTCTTATATACTACACATAACTTTTTTACATTAACATGATATATAGAATAAATTTAATCAAAAAATTCAATTACAACTAAATTCTTACATCCTTGACTAAAGCACCGATGTCTATCTATTTTATATATTTTTATACTTGAAATCAATAAAGAGTGATGAATTCAAGTATGGAAAACAAGTTTTAATATTGCTTCTCAACATAACTAAAAAATATAGTATTAAAAATAGAACGTTATTAATAACCGAATATTTCCTCATTACTTTAAATTTTGAAACAACATGTATAAAATTTTTTAATATTTATATATAATTTTCTTTTAATTAATTAATGTAATGAAAAAATTACATGTAAAATTTTACAGATTCATAGATTTAAAATACATAAGACTAAATATGAAAAACCAGAAAATATCTTTGAAAATTAAATATTGTGAATCGTAAATAATTGTTCACAAATTAGTATTTTGAAAGTAATTGAAATTTTAAAAAAAGCTAGACACTAAAAGAACTGCTGAATTTATATTAAGTTACTTGCAATCTAAGTAATTAATAAAAGTGCTATTAAAATATTGAAAAACTATCAAATGAAATCAACCTAAAATTGCATGCTTTGTGTCTAATTAAAACATTAAGAAGTCTGAAAATTTTATGAATAATTTAAAAACTAAAATAATCTCAAAGTATTGATGCATCTTTGCATGTGTGTGCAACTTGTGATTGATAAAAACTATATCACCTCAGCTTAATCAAAGAGTATGACCGCTATTTTTATCTTACAATGTGATTTCAAACGAAATTGAAAGGATATCCTAAGCACTATAGAATAATAAAAATACGTTTTGTTAATAATTTTTAGTCTATTACTAAATTTCTAAATATTGTTATTTTGTCTGTGATTTTCTTGATGTGAAATTAAAATTATAATTACTTTAATGTTTCAATTAAAATTTTCAGATTGAAATTATCTTTAAGCCATTGATATAAAACACAGTAAACTAAGATGCTTTGCTACGGCAGAAAAATGGAGATTCATTTAACAAGTATACTTTAAATCAATATCATATTTAATTAAAAAAAGTTTATATAAATAAATTAACGTTTCTAATAGTTTCAAAATAGGCAAAAAAAGTATAGAACTTATCGATATTAAAATTTTAATAAAAAATTTAATGTATATTTATAATAATTAATTCTGTTAATGTTAATTATTAAATAAATTCAGGAAATGTTGACAATGATGAAAATGAAATCACCGGAATAATGATATGTTGCTTTTGAATAATGAAATAACAAATGAAGAAAAACTACATTCCTTTCGATGAAAGCATTTATTTCATAGTTTATGCAGTAAAATTGGTTGCATTCAAATGAACACAAAATAATTGAATTAAATGTTATTGAAAAAATTGCCCATATTTATTTATAATGCAGAAATCGACGAAAACATAGATTTTTGTTCTGTTAAACATAATCCGATATATTTTATTTCATAAGAAATATTGCTTATTTAAAACCATTGATTTTAAAATTCATCGATTAAAGCCAGTTGACTAAATCAAATGGCATAAATGGAATGAATGATTCTTTAAGTGGATTTATAAATTGTGTAGAACGTGAGTAGCATTCATAACGTCTAATTATAAATGTTGAAATATGCATAATCAGAATTGGTCAAATAATGAATGTAAATGCAAGGTTACAGTGAAATGGAGGATGATAATAAACTTTATTATACGCCGATCTCGTATTGAAAAATAATGTATTGTATTTTGAAACGTCATAGTGAGAAGCAACACCTATCATTTTTCTACGAAAAAAGGCACGTGTGCGTATATCATCGCACGGTAATTGATTACTATTAAGACACGACCAGCAAACCAAAACAATAAAAATGGAAAACAGTAGAATCACAAAAGCCTTTGAACCAATCGTCGTGTCAAATTAGAGTTGAATCGGCAACAAAATAAAAGACGAATCGTAAGCAGAAACATCCGGCGACAGAGTGCAGCTAGCAGTAATTAAAAATTTTAAAGGCCGTTTTACCAGTCAGTCTTCGTCACTCACGTAAGTAAGAAAGAACAAAGAAATAAAGAAAGAAAGAACGAACGACCGAACGAAAGAAAGATATAAGAAGAAGGAAAATAAAATAACACATTAAGTAAATGAAGAACAACGGAAAAATGAGGAAGTGTGAGTGGTGAGTCGCGCGCGCGTAAAAACCGATCGAAGAATGACTCACCTTGAATACGAACGTGATGCACCGTGGACAGGCTCGCCTCGACGACGCTCAGCATCATTATCGTCATCATGAGCAGAAGCATTAGTAGCAACAACAACGGGACCACCGACTCCACGAGCGGCCGCGGCCGTCGTCCGTCCACAGCCATCGTCCTCGAGGAGTCCTGTTCTCCGTTGCGCCGTCCTCCCTCCCTCCAACTCTTCTTTCTTCGACGTCTCTCGGCCTCTCCCCCTTGTACTCGCTAATTGTCGCTCGACCTATCGTGCTTAGGCCGCGCTCAAGTGACGCATTCTTGGGGCCAGCGACGCCCCTGGAGGAGATCTAGCGAGCTGTCAGGATGGCCCGCTTACACCAACAGGCTAGTCCGACGCGCTACCGTGACTACAAGAGGTTAGGTCGCGCGCTCGTCCCCCGATGATGATCACGCTTATCACCGATGACGCGCGCACATGTACCACCGTCCTCGTTATTACTCCCTCCCTCCCACCCGCCCCTTTGCAGCGTTTCCGTCCTTACGCGATCGCAGTGAACGTCGAGGTGGCGTCGTTATAAAACGCGATTACGCGCACAAACACCGCTCGACGACTCGTGCCAGACTGAAAGCCGAGTTGAAGAGCACGGCCGAGCGAACCACTGCAGCTGTCGCCACACACACACGGACAAGGACAGAACGTCGACGTTGATGACGTTTGGAGCGGAACGCGCACCGTGCATGCGTACGCCTGTACGTGCGTAGGTGTAGGTGGCGAGCAACTTGGGAAAGTTCGCGGCGCCAGGTCGTAGGGACAACGGCTGACGGGTACTGACGGTCAAAATAACAGTCGTGATCCCCATTGCAAAAACTATGGATCCTAACGACAATCATCCCCTCTTTTTCAAGTCGTGCCTCTGAGATTCGATAAGAGGAGGCCGGCTTTCCACAACGTTCGTCCCGATTTTTTTTTTAACACGTCCAATACCCGCTTACGCTATGGTTACCAATGTCATAAAAGCGAAACAGAACCATGAATAACACAATGATTAATATTGTCTTCTCCAATCTCTGAAGTCATTAATACTTTTGTATTCGATTTGCTACGCCAATTATTCACCTTTCCACGGTCACTATAACAAAATTTTATTGATGCTACTGTATGCTCATCGCTCACTACAATATATACTTTATTCGATTGGAGCTTAGCTATTTAAAGAAACACATAAAAATGCGCTCTTTATCATATGCTCTCTTTTCCCTCCTTCGCCCCGCCGTTC